AGAATCACAATGAATTTTAGATAGATATAGTATCTCTCAATTTGGTAAACAATCAGTTTCAGTTTATAATCTAGGCACACACTGCAATATATAGCAGTTTTATATCAACAATTTTCTTACTACATTTAGACTTTGCCTATGACTACAAAGCACAAGAGTAATGAAAATGGCATTGATGTTCTCTTAGGTTAATAGATTTCCAGACTTGTCCCGCATGATTTCTAACCTTTATTTTGCTTTATTGCTGCTTATATTAGTGAAGGTATCTAAAGGACACAAGCTGTGGATGTAATTCAGCATTGGCAAACTATATCACTATACAAACTCTGGTGCAACACACCCATAATGCTCACATATATCCAGAGATGAACTGTAGTGGTTATGGTACCAGGAGTGCCTAGGCACCTTCCCAGAGTAATTATTCAAACCAGTCTGACAACCTACCAGGTCCTTTCGAGTGCTTGCTGCTGCCTTCTTTGGTTCTTGCTGCTACCTTCTTACACAGAGCATCATGTAATGCAGCCTCTCTTTCTAAAGTAAGTGCATCTAAATGTGAGTAGCATGCGTGTTCATGATCAAAGGGCTGTAGAGTGCGTATGTGTGGGCACTGGCGTACATATAGCAGTCGTAGGGGTCGCAGCTTAGACAGGACCAGTCAGACCCCTGCTACTGGGTGCCAGCCATCAACATTTGCAGGCCCGGCCCACACGGCAAACCGCCAAGGCCGCATGTTAAGGTGCCCATCAGGTGGCCCATGCTGTCAGGGATTTTCAGGGGACTCGGTCAGCGCTGGGAGCTTTAACAGCGCGACCAGGCCCCATGTGATGGGATCATCACATTCTAGGAGGAAGCAGAGGGAGTCAGAGTGGGAACTCTGATTCTCATCAACCTGAGCCACCGCTGGACCCCAGAGAAAGTCACCCTCCTGCACCTAAAAGGTAGGAAACAGGAGGGTGACTTAAATATTATGTGTGTGTGTGTGTGTATGTATGTGTGTCTGTCTGTTTGTATGTATGTGTGTCTTGTATGTGTGTGTCTGTGTCTGTCTATGTCTGTGTCTATCTGTCTGTATGTATGTGTCTGTGTCTATCTGCTTTTATGTATGATGTGTGTCTTGTGTGTGTGTGTCTGTCTGTATGTATGCCTGCCTGTTTGTATGTATGTATGTGTGCCTGTCTGTCTGTTTGTATGCATGAATCTTTGTATGTATGTCTGTCTGTGTCTGTCTGTATGAAAAATGTGTGTGTCTGTATGTATGTGTGCCTGTCTGTATGTATGTGTCTTTGTATGTATCTGTCTTCTGTCTGTGTCTGTATGTGTGTGTCTCTGTATGTATGGGAGGGGGGCCATGGATCAGTTTTGCACTGGGGCCCCATGGGTTGTGCGTACGCCACTGTGTGTTGTGCTGTAATGTGTGTGTATAAAGGCTGTACAGTGTGTGTGTTCGTTTGTGTTCGTATCTAGGGCCTGCAGTGTGTTTGTATATGTGTATAGAGGTTACATTGTGCCTTTGTGATTGGAGCTGCTGTGTGTGCATCTTTAGGGACTGTAGCATGCATGTGTGTATAGGGGCTGTAGTGTTTGTACAGGGATACAGTGTGGTGTGTGTGTATAAGAGGTATAGAATGTGTGCATGGAGGTATAATGTATTTGTGTATGGTGGTTTAATTGTGTGGATATATAGAGGTGTACTGTGGGTATAGGGGGTGCACTGTAGGTATATGGGTATAGAGGGTGTAATATATGTCTGTTGGTACACTGTATATGAGTATGTATAGGAGTATAAGTTTGTGTAGGGGATATGGTGTGCCATAGGGACTATAGTGTGTGCATAGATGTTATTATGTGTGTTTATAGGTGTTTATATATTGTGGTGTACTGGGGTGTAGTGTGTGTAGAGGGGCTTAATACATTGGATAATTGCTTAAGAACAAAACAAAAAAATCATGAATTCCCCTCTTCCTGTTGCATTACCATTCCAATAGCTAGTGATACAGTGTGCTAGAAATCTGGACTGTCCCTCTGCTGGTGTCCTTCTCCTTATATCCTTTGTTGTCCCTATGTGACAATATATTTCCCCGTTTCCCCTGTGCCTATCCCCACATGCACCTCTCTTATCCATATGCCCATTACTGATGTCCATACCCCCTAATGTCTATTTGCACATGTCCCAACATTTGTCCATTTCCTCCATCTTATATCCATGATCATGATATTTTCCCATTTGTTCATGCCTCCTCTGTGTTCATGGTCTCCCTTATGTTATTTTCCTCCTCTTTTGGCCATGTCCCCATGCCCTCTCTTGTTTAATGCTTCCTATTTTGTCCATAAGCCTATCCTGTGTCCATACCAACATGAACCTCATGTTTTTGTCCACTTGAGTCAATGTCCCCCACTGTGGTCTCCAATTGTGGCCATGTTCCCTTTGCGCCCATGCAAAACTTGTGTCAATGTAGCAATGTCATTTTGTTTCCAAGTCTCCATATTGCCCTTGTGGCTATGCCCACATGTTCCATGTCTATGTCGGCCTTTTGTCCATCTCCTTACCTTCTATACTCATATCCTCTTTGTGCTCATGCCCCTCTGTCCCCTGTTATGTCCATGTCTTCTTGTTTTTGTTCTTTTGTTTTTTTCTGTAAATCAAAATGTGGCTCTTGATATAGTAAGGAGGTAGCATCTTAGCTTCTGGGGTGCCACTAGATAGAACCTAAACACAACTGTTTATTCCTTCCCATTGGCTGCCTTCCTAATAAATGAAGTGATGGTAACTAGATGATAATTTAAATATCCTAGATTCCAAAGACAGTGAACTTTGATGCAGTTTAATCTATTGGTTAAACCCTGGTTATGTACATTGACACAATGATTTGCATATATTTGCATATTTTGTGAAATGTGTGTAGAATGCTGCAGGATCCCATTTTATATGTTTACCCTGATGATTCCCTTTGTGAAAGTCATACATTCTATTTTATTTTACTGTCTTTCTTATGTTTTATTATATATTTATGTTTCATGCATTGTTTTGAATCCCGTACAAAAAGTTGAATGTAAGTTTGCAAAAAGGTAGACCCAGTTCAGAAATAAAGAATTGAGTCAGTTCCTTTTGAAACATTGTTTAAGTGTGTAAAATGAAAGAGGACGGTGGTTGCGCACACAGTAAATGATATCCTTAGTCTAGGATGAAGTCCCTAGATTCTGTAAACATAAGAAACCATCATCGGGCAATATATCTTAGACTTAAATAAAATGTTAAGAAAACTTGGAAAACTCACAATATTTAGAGCCTATCAGAGTTGGCTCTAAACTTTTAAAGCAGGTTTATCAATCTGGTGTAGAAAACGTAGTATAAATCCATTGGTAACCATCAAACGTCTTCTTAATGTAGAAGTTAGGAACCAGGATAACCAGGTAAGTGAAAAGTGAATACTTTAATTATAAAACAAATAAAAATACAGCACACCGCGTTTCGACCTAGTGCAATAGGTCTTCCTCAGGTGCACCTGAGGAAGACCTATTGCACTAGGTCGAAACGCGTGAATACTTTAATTATAAAACAAATAAAAATACAGCACAACGCGTTTCGACCTAGTGCAATAGGTCTTCCTCAGGTGCACCTGAGGAAGACCTATTGCACTAGGTCGAAACGCGTTGTGCTGTATTTTTATTTGTTTTATAATTAAAGTATTCACTTTTCACTTACCTGGTTATCCTGGTTCCTGACTTCTACATTAAGAGGACATTTGATGGTTACCAATGGATTTATACTACGTTATCCACACCAGATTGATAAACCTGCTTTAAAAGTTTAGAGCCAACTCTGATAGGCTCTAAATATTGTGAGTTTTCCAAGTTTTCTTAACATTTTATTTAAGTCTAAGATATATTGCCCGATGATGGTTTCTTATGTTTACAGAATCTAGGGAATTCATCCTAGACTAAGGATATCATTTACTGTGTGCGCAACCACCGTCCTCTTTCATTTTATTCCTGTATGTAAGTGTTATATAGTGACTATACACTTGGGTGGTTATTTGTGTGTGCTGCACTGGTTGATTATATATGATATCCTATATATTGTAATAATTTTTAGCGCCATTTTTTATCTCTGTTTTTTAATTGTTTAAGCGTGGTCATATCCAGGAGAAGAGGGACTGAATCCTTTGATTGCACTGCTCCCTGGTATTGACAGGATGGACGAAGATGCAAAACGCAGAACTTACGTTAACAATCAAAACTATATGAAACCAGAATACTAGAGCATGTTACCAGGCCTAGAGTGGCTGGACTTAACCCTATATGAAATAGTTTAAGACAGACAGAGAGTAATGTGAACAAGTAGACAAGCCAAAAGTCAAGGGTAATAGACTTAAGAATGGTCAAGATACAAGCCGGCACTGGCACACATACCGCGGTGGCAGAGGTCACAACCGCCCTGCAGACCCCTGTGACTGGGTGCCCGCCGTCATCATCTGCGGCCCCGGCCTGCGTAGCCAGCCGCCGGGGCCGCCTGTAATGGCTACCCAGGTTGTAAGGGAGTATCAGCCATTGGAGACGTCCTTTTCCTGGCAAGTTGCTGTGTAGTAATGGAATTTCTTATTCCCATCCACGAGATCCAAGAGTAAAGTCAGGCATAGCTGTAAAATGGAGCAAGGTAATTGTGCAGTAAATCCCCTTCCAAGAACGAGACGAGGCTACGTTTTGAAGGGTCAAGCAGAAATAACTTTTATTGACAGGGATTCTCGTACATAATTAGCACAATACCCAATCACAAACATGGTACATCCCACACGTCTCCTCCCCTCAGATAAACAGTTAACATAATTATTACACACAAATTTTTACCCAAGTTTTGACCGACCACATAGGCACACTAGCCGAAAATAGTTCCATAAGTTTTGGCCTTGCGGTCGGTCCTCATTCGTGCGATAAAAAGGCACAAAAATCCTGGCATCCGTATGTATCTTGTTGATCGCTGGAATCCCCGCACGTAACATATCCTTTCTACCAAACGGACGGGCGTTCGGTGGTTTCAGCACGAATTTATGATGTTATGGAGGTCTCAGCGGTGTTCGCCTACTCGAGTGTCCGATTTTAGTTCCAGACACTCGATGGCAAATCACCGCTGTTCGTGCGTTAAGATGGCCGCGAACACGTGCAAAGTCCCGAAATGGCGGCCACCTAGGATCTACAACAAAGGATTCGTGCATTTCTCAAACAAATGATATATGCCCGTCTGAGAGGTAAAATACCACATAATTGAACAGCAGGGTAGTCCGTTGTTCGGCAGTTTGTATTCGTCTTTGTGCCTGCTAAGTCTCTACCGCATGGATTGCACAAATAGACGAATACTGGCAACATAAGTCCCGAACTGTGCTATAATAATCCACATAACCAGGTAAGTATATTCCCTTGTATTATTAGGCTTGGTTATTGTCAAATATGTCCAGGCAGAAAGTACAGTTCTGTTACACCGCCGTCCTAGGGGTCCATCAGGTGGCCCATGCTGTCAGGGCCACCCAATGGATATGGATCGTCGGGGTCCCGGTGGGCACTGTGCACTTAGCGCGACCGGGCCCACTGTGATGAGATCGTCACTGCTCTGGGAAGTGACTGCACATCACTCCTCCCAGCTAACCCACAGACCACGCGGGAGGAAGAACAGGGAGTCAGAGTGAGAAACCCCAGGGAAAGTCACTTTCCTGCACCTAAAAGGTAGGAAACAGGAGTGTGACTTAAATATTATGTGTGTGTGTGTGTGTGTGTATGTGTGTGTGTGTGTGTGTGTGTGTTTGTTTGTATGTATGTATGTGTCTATCTGTCTGTATGTATGTGTGCCTGTCTGTTTGTATGTATGTGTCTTTGTATCTGTCTGTATGTATGTGTCTTGTGTGTGTCTGTATGTGTGTGTCTGTGTCTGTATGTCTGTATGTGTCTGTGTCTATCTGTCTGTCTGTATGTATGTATGTGTGCCTGTCTGTTTTTATGTATGTGTCTTAGTATGTATGTGTGTCTTGTGTGTATGTGTGTGTGCCTGTCTGTCTGTTTGTATGTATGTATGTATGTATGTGTGTCTTGTCTGTATGTATGTGTGCCTGTCTGTTTGTATGTGTCTCTGTATGTATGTTTGTCATGTGTGTGTGTCTGTCTGTATGTATGTGTGTGTCTGTCTGTTTTATGTATGTATGTGTCTTTGTATGAACATGTGTCATGTGTGTGTGTGTGTGTCTGTATGTGTCTGTCTGTTTGTTTGTATATATGTGTGTCTTGTCTGTATGTGTGCCTGTCTATCTGTTTGTATGTATGTGTCTTTGTATGTATGTATGTGTGTGTGTGTCTGCCAGGGGGAAGTTTGGGGGGGGGGAGGGAGTGGGGGGCCGTGGATCAGTTTCGCACCAGGCCCCATGGGTTATGTGTAAGTAAGATAAAGCAAGTACAACTATAAAAAATGTGCTTTTGAAGAACCACAAAAGGTAAACCACGATAGGGAAAAGTATAATGACCAAAATGACCTTAAATAGCTCTAGTTAGGTAGTGATTGGCTGCTTGCAGTCATGTGACTCCAGAACTTGTGTGCATGACATCTGTGTGTGACACGTGCACAATCTTATCATTATTTGGGCCGGGGAATGTGGAGCAATGAAATGGCTCCACTGCGCAGCAGCCGGCATCAGAGAAGAGTGCGACTGCGCAGGAGGCAGATGTTAGCAGCACTATGGATTTACTGACGTGCGGATATGTACCGGGGGGGTTACATGAGAGGTATTGGCAAAAAAAAGCTAAATCTCACTGCCAAGAAGGGTAGGAGAAAGCAAAAGGGATTGATTCCTGTTTGAGCTGACAGAGAGTGCAGGCGGATTGATTTGTGTCAGAGTGGGCAGAGAAATTCCTATGTAGAAATCCCATATGAGTCCCTGGTGGTGGAGGAGAAGGGACGGACAACATAGTGGAACAGGTCTGAATCCCAAGTCAGGGACCAGTCACCGCTGTTCTTGTTACAGTAGATATAAATACATTATCAGGCTGAGGTTTTGCTTTGGGATAAATATCTATTAAATTAAATGGACTAAATGTTATGAAAGTTTAATTGTTTTTTTAAGTGTACTTTTGTGAAAACACAAGCCTTGCTAACCTAATAGGCTAATGCAATATATTGTTGAAGTTAATAAAAACCAAAACCACAAAAGATGAAGTTTTAAAAATAAAAACAACCTTTGTTTCTAGTATTTATATATTAGTGATGCATTCTGCATTCTATGTTTAAATCCACCGTTAAATGAAGCTTGCTAACAAACTATAACTGCAATATGGTGAAACATTCCGTATTTAAAAAAAAGGGGAAATGGGGGCACACCCAGGACATAAATGTCTAAGTAGTGGTGCTGCCATACAGACCAATATATATATATACATTCCCAAATAAAATTTTACATCTGATAAAGTATCCAATATCCTAACATCTGTGTTTGTCCAACTATAGAATATGTTGCTCATGAAAAGTTATCAGACCTTGTCAGTCTTATTGCATATTACATTAAATCATAGGGAACAATGTGAGACATTTTAGCAATTTTAGTTTTTTGGGTTTTGTGTTAAGTGTGCTCTTCACAGCCAAGACAGCATTGAAAATCAACTTTTTCCCTCTTTGATATCATTTTCCCGTACTGGGTATAAACTCGTCATAGACAATGTAATATTTTGACACCTAGGGTCAGAACATTGGTAGCAAAACTGTCCATTGCAGCAGAAAGATTGGTCTGTAGATAGTTTATATGCCAAGCACATGATGTTTTGTGCTTAACATATTCCTTTGTCAATTTCTCAGACTGCAAACTGCTCAACAATCCACTTTTTCCTATCCCTGCAGCTTGCCTGTCAGATGTCTGTGAAGCTCTCCATAATCAAGGAGATCATATAGAAAGAGTTCAGATTGCGTTAATACAGGTCTCCCGAGTCTCGAGGAGGTGCAGCTTTGTACTATCATTGCTTTTATCGGTATTTGAAAGTCAGAATACTTGGCCAGCATGCAAAACCTAGCCTGATACTATGTATTTGTTCCAGTATTTATATGAATACATATATATATATATATATGTCATGTAGAGTATTCTTCATTAGGAGTACATTCGTCTGCGACACTTTCACATCATTAGCTATGTCAGTGCTTTCTGACACTGTCATAAATATAAAACATGTTTTCTCCAACTAAACACAATTATAATACTTTATTTTTATCAGCGTTGTTAACATTCATAGCAATTTGCAAATTCCCAAATCTGTAAATCTATTTAACCATCTGGACAAATTCATATAAACTGGACTCTAAAACCTGGACATGCTCAAGAATAATGTGGCTATTATGCATGCTTCAACTGCATGGCCACCATTTGCTCAGCATTTGTTGGCATCGTCAACTAAGTAAATATGAGCTAATAGGCCTTGATCAAATGTAATGTTACAATGTTCAATGAATATATTCAGAAATCTAGTCATGTTTTTTTTTTTTTTTCAGAAACACAGACCTGAGATTACCCAACATCTGTGCAAGCAGTCTCCTAAAGCAACAAATAATCAGGTTTATTGTGCTATCCTGTTACACATGCAAAATAATTTGCTCATCAAAACTTGAAACATGAATCTTAATATATTTGCATTGGTTTTGCAGGTTCTATTTTAAACAATGGTCAAACTTAGTTGCTCATACATTATAAAATCCAAGATATACATTTTTGAAATATTGTAGGTCAAATGAAAATCTTGATGCATGCCCGGGTAGGCATTAATACTGTGATTTTGTAAAATATAATTATTACTAATATACTGCTCTCAAAAAAGCTTATGAAAACTGTTAAAAGGTTACAAAAAAGGTTATGATAACATAAATTACTTGTTTCGAGATAATATATAGTACTGAGTACACAATATCCATTACTCACAATCAGAGCATCCCTTTCTTTGATGTCCATCAAATACTCCTGTCACATTTTAGTAGACAGAGCCCAGTATGCAGTAATAAGCTAAGAAATTCCAAAAAGAAGTACCAATAAGGAAGAGGCAAAGGCAGGTTCAGACTAGCAAATCATGAGACAGAATAGGTTCATAAACGGAGGACAAGCCAAAGATCAGATACCAGGTAATCAGATTAGTAATAGTAAATCAACTGATAAGGCTAAAGAGCACAGTAATACTGAGCAATGAAATATTTTGTGAGCAAGAAGGAGCAGGCACATTTAAGGCCACCACGATTGACGTGGATGTGGCACCTATTGAATACAGAATCTAGAAGATCCATTGTCATCTCCTGGTGAGGGACCATGGCTTGGCCAAATTGTTAGATGTGGTTTTCTGTTTAAAGCCATGTGAATGCCTCCAACCTCTGAAGGAACACGAATGATATGAATGAAGCACCAGCCGCCAGCGAATGAAGACACATCACAGGGACAGGAGAGACACTCATAATGGAAGTGCAATATATATCTTGCCAGGTTGCTCCTGGTTATATTGAAATCTAAATTACACCACTTTTCTTGTATCTAAAGGGACAGTCCAAACACCAAAGGGTAGCTCTCACCACAAAAAGTGACATTTTCTTTTTACACCCATGAACTCGCAACACTGTTCATTAAATAACTAATGGCTTTGTGTTCTATGGAGCAATTCCACTGAAATGTTAATGATTTGGCATAGCTGCAAAGTTACACCAGTTAGTAAATTGCATTTTGGGGGTAACATTTTAGGATCCAGTAAATCATTGAAAACAGTATTTATGTTTTTCCTCCTCCAATGCAATGCGTTCCATGGCTGTTCCAGGACGGAACTCTGTTGGGATGTCAGTTGCCAAACCTTTAATATATATTAAAATAAAAAAAAGCATTGCATGCAAAAAAGATTAAAATAAGTTATAGGCAACTGTTTTATTCAATAGTGTAATGTCCTAGGAAAGAATTGTATTGTTTTGGAGATTTGAGGTTCTGCTTTTAAGACTAGAGATATATATACATATGCATTTTTAGAGCATGTCTGATGAATTTCTCGTAACTGGTATATACTAGACTGACGAGGTTTACTTGTGACCAGTTTAGAGCACTGAAGTATGTTATCAGTAGTCATGTTGAATAAGTAGTTTTTGCTTTTTGAAAAAAAAAGCATTTCAAATTTCTTTACGTAATTTGGAGAACAAATTCATACTGAATGTTCTTTAATGCATTAGTATTC